AGGAGGCCTTTACCCGTGAAGGGGTTCCGAAGGTACTGAAGCTAGCTAGGATGTATATCTATCTATATATAGATAATGTATAAAATGTAAAAATCTAAACTGTTCATTCTTTTTTTGTAATGATTGGAAATTAAACGGGCTTTTATTATTAATATTTCAAGGCATGAAATTTAATATACTAATAGAGTGCAGTTATGAACTTACTGCGTACCACTGAACCATAATACTGTAACCATAGTTACTGGTGTATTCTAATGTTTAAATAAAATAAAGTCTGCGAGCGTTACCCCGGTGCATACTCGTCGTTACTAGATCGTCTTTCAACTTTACATTTCTAAATCTCGTTATGTGTAAGCATACACCTGGTTTGACTGAGATTCAATCAATTTTCCATACTTCGTAAGTAATTTACCAGAATATTCAATTTTCATTTGAAATTGAATAAGACCACGGTGATACCTTGTTGAGGAAGTTATTATATAAAATGCTTGTGCTATTTTATCAGGCGCCGAAGTAATGAAACACAAAGCTATATTCTATATATTTATAAAAGTATGTTACACAATTTAGTAAAGATATTTTTTTGTATATATGAATGCAACAGGAGAAAGATGGTCACAATAGACAGAGATGGAGCCAGTTGAAGGAGGAGGAGGTGTATGAGGTAATTGGAAAAAAATCAAAATTATTCTTGTATAAATTTTAAGTGTGTGTATCTTTCGTAAAAATTGATGAATGTTTCAAGGAATAAATAAGGCTTAATTATTATTATTATTATGTATGTATAGTATGTAACAAAAAAGAATATTTTATCGACGAATGCATGATATATACATAAGAGTCAGATTAAGGTATCTCTTACCTTAGGCACATCGGAACCACTTTGTAAAGCTTAAATTTAAAAATGGAACAAATTCATTTGACGACATTGAACGAAATATTATCTTAGAACTCAGCAGGGGCTTATAACATTTCACTTACATCGCAGCTATATGGTACTAGAGCGCCGCCAACGCCTGAAGACTTAGACAACTCTAATTAAGTTTCCTGCCAATGTTTAACTTTCTTATTAGATTTCATGTGTACTAAGACTAATTGTGCTTTTTGTGGACTTGTAAATCAAAACAGTGCAGTAAATACATGTTACTTATACTCATAACGCTCCAATGGCGCGATATACTAAAAAAAAGTGTGTGCGTACAAAGTACACATGTCAGAAGTGAAACTTCTTTGGCAAACTAATTTTTAAGTCTTGTTCATATTTATACAAATCTAAAACTTTAGATTTCAGAGAATTAGAGGGAGGTAAACAGGAAGATATGTTAGGGATTTATTGAATTTAATCGTCATTAAAATATTAAAAGTGTCGGAAATTAATACAAATTGTAAATTTATTTCTTAGATAATAAAAACACGTGGCATTTAAATTTATATTTGAGATTTCAAAAAATTATTTTGTATATTCAATAAATTTGCTCTCTCTCAATCGGTGTCAATCACTCTCTCCCTTTTCGTCGACAAAAACGCTGCAAATCTTCGTGACGCTAATATTATTATTATTGCGTTTCATCCGTAACGCATTGCATTTACCTTCATGCGCCTAAAGAAGTTTCACTTCAAAAAAAACAATTAAATAATATTAGTCTGTTTTAGTAATATAAGTCGTTATATGATACTAAAAAGAGTGTTAGCCTATATCTTAATACAGTAAAAGCTCCCTATTCGCGCTTCCTTTATTCGCGTTTTCACTATTCGCGGATTAAAAAAATGCAACCCAATTTCTTTATTCGCGGCAAAAAATTTCTTTATTCGCGGATCTAAAATGTCATACAATATTCCAATAGGTGTTTAACGCAATATCATATAGATAATATGGAGTGTAATCATGATATGAATGTTATGGAATGCTGGAAGAAATTTGACGTAGCAAAATGCATCGTAAACATAAAATAATCATTGGAGGAACTGAAACCACACACATTGAAGTCATGCTAGAAAAAAACTATGGCCTGCTCTGACTGCGGAAAATGACGAAGAATCCGTGCAAGTTCAAACTTTGACTTTGGTTTAAGAATGGCAAATGAGCTTTGCGATTTTTTTATGAACATTGATCCATCTATGGAACGAAGTCTTAATTTTAAGAGGCAAATTGCTAATGCGACTGCTGAGTATCAGTCTGAATTGAAGGAGCCATTAAAAACTGCCAAGCAAGAATAAATAACAAAATTCTTTAAACCATTGCCTAAGCCTGAGGATAATGATTATATAATCAAAATGTTCAATAACATCAATAAAATTGATTTTCTTATATATTTGTGTTTTTTATTTTGGCACCTAGGAACGTATCCCCTATAAACCCATATAAATTACCATTCTGTATTCACGGTTTCTGTATTCGCGGCATATTTATGGAACGTATACCCCGCGAATAAAGAGATTTTACTGTATATATATTTCTTCTGTGCGTGTGTATGTGACTGAACTCCTCTCAAACGACTGGACCGATTTTGATGAAATTTTTTGTGTGTGTTCAAGGGGATCTGGGAATGGTTTAGATTCACAAATCAGCCCGGCAGATGGCACTGCAGTCGGTACTTTCATACTTTGCTTAATATCCTAATCGCTTTAAATATCATGCAGGACAACGTCTGTGGGGTCCACTAGTATATATATAATTTAGGATTGCAATCATGTAAATTTAAATAGAGCAAGTTATGAAATTGTTTCACGTACGACATAATGCGAAAAAGATGTGAAGTAATCATCTCCGCAAAGCTCTTTCAAAACAAAACTTTTGCCTCTTCAAATGCGGAAAATTGCTACAACTTTTTTTAATAGCTGTACATCCCTTGATGTATTCTAATTCCGACTGAAAAAGTTTTCCTTCTTAAATGCTTTTTATGAAAATTATCTTATATTTTTAAAAATTATCGACGCTATCTTATGGTTAACTAGTTTTATTGAATTAAAGCAAAATAAATACAAAATATTTAATGTTTGTTGTAAGATCGATTTATCAAAGAAATTCTGCGTTCAAAACCTGGCTGTGCACCGATGGTAAATTTTCCAATGTTTTTAATTAGTGAAAAATCATGAATGTTGGTCCAGTCGTTCTCGAGTTATAGGTGTTTAAATAGACCTGACTTTGATTTATATATTTAGATTACAAAGATCAATTCTGGTTAGTAACTTAAAATTTAATTTTAGTACTAATAGAAAAAAATATATTAAAAAAATTATGCTGCTAATAATATAAGTAGTTTAAACGAATAAAATTAATAGACGTCATAGGACCTAATTCGTTTAAATGTTTCTGATAATACTAACATACTTTAAGCAAATTTGAAAAAATAAGGAAAATATCAGATAAGTACTTTGTTTATCAAGAACCAAATGCTGCATTAAACGCCCATTAATTACAAATGAAATGAAATTCAAATCAATTCTGTCACATTTCGGATGTTCAAGGAAATTGCCTGTAAATCACTGGTCATTTCGAAGTTATGACTTAATTACTTTCAAACGGCAATCTGAATTTAGTGATGCATAAATTGCAGGAACTTCCTAATGCCTCTTCGTTTGGGAACCAGATTACTTCGAGAACTAATATAGGCCGGATATTAGCACTTAGAGTTTGTTACCTAGAAATTCTATATGTTTAGCTTGAATAAAATCATATAATTATAACGTCAATCCGGTGGTGCAAGTGTGAAAGTATAAGATACATATGCGTAATATTTAATTGCTCATTTCATGTTGCAGACTCACTATTCTCCATCAATTATCTCTAAAAGGTGTCATTTAAAACGGCTAAAAGCTCTGGCTACCTGAGAAGATGGGCCGCGCCCTAGTTATCACGGTAATTAATAGAAATATGACTACACAGGGCCGGTATATCAATTATTATAGAATGCAATTCCAAAAATTTTATAAAAATAAATTATCTTCAATATTCAATTCCATAACCAAACAAGCGTAAAAAATATTGTTTTTATCTTTAGTTTATCTCATATAAATAACAATTTGATTATCCTTTCACTAAATGATAAAAAATCAAGGTTAAAAATGGCATATTTCGATCGACAAGCAAAACAGTCCTTTGTTTTGGTAGCCGAGCGATAACTGGTTTCAGTACGGTTGGTTTGTTTGCAAAGTTTAAAAAGTTGATCCGACAGTTGTAACAAAAACTGGACATGTGGATACGGCTCTGGTGATACATGAACATGACACGATACCGAGACCCGCTGACCCGTTTTTAGCAGAGACTAGTCAATTTACCCTTAAAAAATCTCGGAAAACCTCACCCAGTAAGAAAGCAGTATGTTGACTTAACACACATATGGCGCTTAACGGGCACGTGCCCTCATTTTCAGCCGCAAACGAAAAGACACTTTTAAACCTTTTGACACCTTTTAACTTAAGGGTCATTTTACTTTGTGTACGCAAAGATTTTGAAAATCAAAGGAAATGTTTAAGAAAACTTGGACGGAATGTTCCTTTAAGAATACCGAATGATAATGTTTAATGATTTATTTAAATTTTGGAACTTATAAGATTTTAGATTCAACGTGACAACAGTGTTTTATGTACAATTGATGTGTGTAAAGATTAGAAACACCTAGATAATTTAGGCAACGTGGACTATGTACCTAATAAGATTTTTTTAGATTAATTTAACATCACGTCTGTCATTAAAATATTTTAGTTATACACCTAAAGAATGATCGGGCAGAAATCAAACAAAACAAAGTAATAGCTCCAAAAAGTACATCCATAATAAGGTACTCTGTTTATAATCCAGTAAAGGCAGGGGCTTGACATGACACGATTGTGCAACGTCGTCGGCAGACTGCTAAGTGCTCTAAATCCCCTGTTCAATGCCCTACTCCACAACTTAGTTCATCATTGATACTTGTAATGAAACGTCGCGAGCTGAAAAAGTTAGCTATGGCATAAAAATGAAATCCACTATAATTTACATAATCCTTCTTAATCGGGTTATGTCGCAAATTCTTATTAATTCAGTGAATCAGATAAACGCTTCACGAGACTCGACCGAATCGAATTTTTCTTTGCCGCAAACGGTGACGAGTTCGGAAACGACTCTCGCGGTGTCGACCGGAAACAATCTTAATGTCACTCCGCCCGACATCCCCGACGAGACGTTGGAAGCACGACGAGAAAATTTCCGAGCAATCTCACCAATTTACCCGGTTGAAAAAACGAATTCCGATGAAAAAAGTGATGAAGAAACGTTGAAATTGCTTTCATCTCGCGAAGGAAATTCTTCGGAGAGTGAGGTAAATGAAAAAGCAAATGATATAAATAATACATCGGCATCACAACTCGTTTGGGACAATTGTTACGAAACCTCGTATAGAGATAACCACCAAGTGAATGCAAAAGTCCACTACGACATGGAAAATGCGCATCGCCTCGAGATTGACAATGGTGGAATGTTGAAAAACAGGGAGTTTCTAGAAAATAACGGTTCACTCGCAGTAAGGAATTGGCTGGAGAAATATAACAACCTGAAGAATTCAATAGCGGCGCGTAAGTCTACCACGGAGATGACGACGGAAATATCTTCTATTGCCTCCAAGGATTATTTCGACGAGGCTCCAATGGATATCGGCATGATGAAAGTGAATTCCGTACAAATATTGCCAATAACGAAAGAAATTGTTAGAGATTACGAGTTCTCGGAACCCTATAACGTGACTGTTGATGTACTTGTAACAGAAAATAACATCAAAGCGAGTTACAATGACGATTGGTTCGAAGGGGAGGATAGGACGAAAATAAAATTTAGTAGTATGCCGCAGACACAAACCTATTTGATACCGAAATTCAAACTTGAAGAGGGATTTCACCCTTTTAGTTTTATGTCGCAGTTTTTTTCGATGATATATCCTTTCGATTTTCCCGTCGGTAAGTCTGCTTTTAGACCCTTTTTAATGTTTAGATTCGAATATATGAGTATTTATTTTCGTAAAAGAATGCACTACTATAGTTTATTTTAATAAACTAAAACGAGCTTAGCTTTAATTTTCTTTAAATAATGTTCTGTTCTTAGGTCTTATCAAGGATATTGTGTGGGGAAAATTTACATTTCCATATTCATTTTTACAGGTAATTTAATATTTCTACATGTAAACGCTAGCTGCGATTCCACTGTACAAAAAATATAAATCGTAAATCCTTAATACGAGTATAGAGTTACAATGTATTTAAAGAAGCTTTACGATGTCTACAATACAGCACTGCAGATACTTTTGCCACAGTAAGCTATACAGATTTAGTACCAACACACGGTTAAAATTTTAAGAAATAAATAATGTAAGGCTCATTTAATACATCATTATTAAATCTAGATTTAAAATCAGATTAAAATCACAGAATATAATATATTTAAGGCGGTAATAGTCAAGTTATAAATTTATAAAATAGATTTAATCTACAAAAAGCTCATTCTTCGGAATTTTATCGAAGAATCGTTTAATGTTATTAAACGTCGCTTTGATGATCGTATCGACCACTGGTTTGCCAAATTCGTCCACAACTTGCTTCCAATTTTCATTCAGAAATAGCAAAACAGTTTCACCTGAAATATAATGATTTTGATGAAATACACACTAGAGAATCAGGCTCCCACTAAAGCATTATCTCGTCATAACTTGACTAATATACGTATTACTTTTGCGGAAAGAGTATAAAGTAAAAAGATTACATAAAATCAACAGCTCCTTTTCGAAGTCAACTAAAAAGTACAATTTAATCATAAATATTGAAACCAAAGTTAAATCCACTGACCAATTTAAATTAATACTGTAGCAATCAAAATTACTCTCTTATTCATAAAAACAAAAACAATCGAATTATACTGTTAATAGCACAGCTTACTTACAATTTGACGAAACTTACTTAATTGGGGATTTCCCTTAAACAAATTAGTGAATGCAAACGTAACTTTTTCTCCAAACTGGTACTTCACTTTGTAATCCTTCACAACTCTGTATTCAACGCCATCACGAACCACATCTTGGAATATTAGTTTTGACTCAAATTGGATATTGGCTGAAGTAGGACAAAAATCAAAAGAGAATACATATATACCATTGACATATTCATTACAAATAAATTTTCTTACGTGTTTTTATTTTAGCATCCCCATCTCCATTAATGCTAACAATCAAAATTCTTCCTGTCGCTGAGTACTTTCCTTTTACGGTCAAATTACAACGCAATGATAGGTCCGCTTCCAGATCTAAATAACTGAAATATTTTATTTAATGTACCACATTCACCGGGTTAATAAATACAATTCCTTATTTAATATAGTGGCAATTAGATATCTAACTGAACTAAATTCCTGTTAAATTAAGGCTGAGAATGCACTTATAAGATTCCGGATGTTGCAGGTGCCCATGAGCAGCACGTGTGTAGGTTTTTTTTTCAGAACTTCTTGTCTTTTTCGAATAAGAATTAGTAAATAAGACGCTTATGTTTCAATTCCGCATATCATAATCATTTTAAACATACATTTAAATTAGTTCAATTTAAAAGATAAATGTAGGTACCATATTTTGTTAAGTACCTTACAGATTCCACCACGCATTTTCTGAATCCAGTTAACAGACCGTCTCGAAAGTGTATCTGTAAGCCTCCGGGCAGCTCCAAATCTACTTTTTCCTGCTGTAGAGGATCCGACGAGTTTATACCTAAGCTAGGGATGCCCTTTACAAACAGAGGGATTGTTTCTAGAATATTCGGCTTTAAACATTCCGTTTTTAGCCCTGGGCATGGTTTTATGTAGTCGGCTGTAATTAAAAAATAATATATACGTATAATAATGTAGAACTCTAGACAAAATTAAAACATACGTATCATAAAGAATTTTATTTAACTCTAATGTACACTCTTAAAGGTGAGGGTTAGACAAAAAATTCAAAACTGTGTCTATGGCTACTTGTTAGTGGTTAAAACCGGCGAAATCTTTGTATACGGAATATTTCTGTAATAAAATTTCAAAGTTCATGTAGCATATCAAAAGTTGCATAATACATTTATTGTCAACACTACTCTGGCCTTGCGGACTGCGGTTTATTAAGATATTTTTAAACACAAGTAAAACCGAAGGCCCAATAAACCGCACTGTATTGAGCTAACCTCAAGTGTGTACACCTTGATAAAGGTTTATATTTCAGTAAATGCAATTATTTCTATAGTAAATAAGACCTGATTCTCAGCAGTGATAGGACTTCTCGAGTACAAAAATTACGTAGCTCGTAATTTCTCGTTCCTCACAAGCCGTATACTGTTCAGAAATATTTACTTGTGCATCATGGATCAAGTAGAATCAGGGTCATATGAAATCTATTTGAAATTTCTTAAAAAACTTTTATAACTTCTGATAGTCTTTATATTATCAAAATTCTACCTTTGAGCAATAAATAATTGCAAAATCAAAGCCTTCGAAATCTGGTTACGATATTATAACAGTTCAAAATTATTGTGTAACGACGATTGCTTGCTTAAGATAATGACATACACGTATTATATTGAGTAAATCATTGAAAATTAATGAAATGCAAAACATCGAAAGTGACCTCCCAGTCATATTGGGAAATGCTATTCCTTAAATGTCAAACACTGTCACAAAAAACGAAAATGTGACATCGGATATTTAAGTTAAAATAATTTGTATAAAATTACTAAAATTAAAACTACTTTGAAATAGATAAAATGTGTCATTTTTGTGAACGATAATGAACAGAATTACAAAAGATCATAATTAGTATTAATTTATAATGCACATAAAATAAAAAATAAATATTGTGTAATTTAATTATTTATTTACACTTCGTATGGGAGGCAACGGGGGGCCTTATCGCTAACAAACGATCTCTTCCAGACAACCCTAGTAAGAAAAAACTAAATAAAGAAATATCATGGGTACAGTCCAGAACCAAATCTAATATACAAAAAATTAGAATCACCAACCTTAATCTAAAATAATTTAAAAAAAAATAAACTAAAAATTTAAAATAATATAATTATTTGTTATTATGTATGTTTGTCTAAACATTTATTTTTATTTTGTAAATTTAAACTAATATGAAGGACAATTCAAATAACGTTTTCTTAATTAATTCTGTAACAATAAACCCAAAAAAATAAATTCTGAGTGAAATAATTTACATGTTTATAAAACGGTCGCTCTAAATCAATTTTATAAATTAAAATATACTTACGCGCAACTTTTGCCGTCGCATAATTGCAAAGTGTTATAATAAAGAATAATTTTAAATTAGTCCAAAACATTGTTAAACCGTTATAAAAAGCAACACACGCTTATGTTGTACGAAAACTTAAGCTACACTGATACGGATGCTGGCTAGATACATCAAAAGTTTCTCCCCATTTAATTGTAATTTGGTTTTATAGATGCTCTCATGTTTATTTTATCTTCATTCAGTCATTACGAGAAATAAGTTGGTGAAACATTTGCTTTATTTAATTCTCTCTTTTACTCTCATTTATTTTATCATGGAGAGCGCAAGAGTTGGATCACATATAAAATTAAAATTAACAGTGACGTAGACGCAGCGATGTGTTTGGCAATCGGGCTTCAATAGGAGACTAAAATTAAACATACATAACCAATAATTTACCACTCGTCTACTTTGTAAGGTCCCGAGTTCTGGCAAAACTTATTTGTGTATGAGAGAAAAGAATTCTAGTCATCACACAAGATCAGGAAAACAGGCACAGAAATGTTTCAGCCATGCCCTAAGTTTTGCTATTAAATCAAGCTAGGTCAGGGCTGGTACGTGACATTTATACAAAACGTATGTCGTATTTTATTTATTTTGAACACCTCTGTAGTTAAAAAGCTGGTTTATATAACGCGTCAAAACAAAGAAATTTGTTCAGGGCTTAATCGTTATTTATTATTGTCCTTTACTTACGCGACGTTTAAATTTAAGTTCACTTTGTGATAACCACACTTTCTAATTCATTTCTAATGCTTTTTATAATGCACAGGTCCAATTACCCTATTAGACTAAAGGTGACATGCAATAGACGCAGTTGGATACTGCAGTTTTAATTTAAGATTGTTATCAATTCTCAACGAAATGTGAGATTACAATCGCTCATCAATGTTTCGAATAAATTCCCATGAATGTTTATAAAATAATAATTGTATGTTTACAATGTATGTTTTCACATATATTTGTATCATTGTGAGAGAGTCCACGATATGGTATGAATAGATGCAGTGTAGTATGTGATGTTGCAAAGAAAACAGTCAAGTTGTATTCTTCCTTCTTTTTGAAGACAATGAAAATATCTTCTCACTTCTAATATTACAATTATTTTTACTATCAGTTTTCGGTCAACTAATTGTATTTACTGTTACATTATCATATTCGTATATAGTATTTAACGTCTCACACTAAAAATTATAATATTAAAAGAAACTTCATTTTATTTAGGAGACGAAATTCCCTCTTAAATTTATGTCACGAATTAAAAACACTTTTCACGCTATAATATTGATAATCCGGAAACAATGCTTTTAAAATGTCAATTTCAAAGAACAACATTCATTTTCTTGGTATTCAGTGTCTGGCAATTATTCCAAAATGCATTAACTTGTTTTCGTTAAACTTGCAATAAGATAGTCTAGGTTTGAACTACGTGGTGGACACTCAAAGTGGCGAAGAATACTTCAAGTCCTTTGATATAATCCCACCACCTTAAACTTTGATCCCACCCGTAGGGCTCCGTCTGTTACCTTAGGTCTCTTGGTGCAGACATCCCGTACTTATTTATATATTCACTGTTTATGTGTTACAGTACGTCTGTAGGCCTTAGGGATCCGTAGGGTTGTTAGGTTCTTACATCACACCCTCTCATATATTTAGTTATCTAGTCCTGATTGCTCATACACACATTACATATACTATACATATAAATTTAAACACACATTTCACAGTCACAATTCACTGGAAAGCATGGTGTACACTGGTAATCACAGTATATTTTAAATTATGACTATACCAAAAACAATTTAAAAAAATGGTAACAAAATATTGGATTTATTTCTAAGCAACACTTAGGAATAAGAGTCAATATTCAATAGTCCTTAAGCTTGATCTCGATGTGATGTTAAATCCAATTGGTGTTTCTCTATTGACTTGAGGTCTACACTAATTGGTTAATTCAGCAATTTGATTGGATTGATCGATCAACGACTGATAGCTGCTATTCGGGTACTTAATGTACTACCACTAGCTTTGACAGGAGCATAAACGGCTATTTTGGTTCCTGAAAGTCAGTTGTGAAGGCAAGCATTTGCATTTGTGTATTAAAAAATGTTATTTACTTAATTTTAAACATTTAAATATCACCACACATCAAGTTTAAAAACGTAGTTCGCTGCTCTGTGGCATTAAATATGTTATGCCGTTTTTTACTAAGTTATTAATCTACAATTAGAGAGCATTTAATAGATGATGGCTTTAGTGATAGTTTATGATAAAATCAGTTGTTGTTAAAAAGAGGTTTGACAAGTATATTTCACGTAAAATAGAGTTGTTTCATACCGTTAAATATTTTTGACAAACAAAATAGTTTTTATCAGTTTTAATAAATAAACCGATATCTATCTGTGTGAAATTAGTGTTATTGTTTATAATGTTTCCACATTATAATAAAGATTATACACAATCCTTAAATATACGTTTGAAATGAAGAATAAATTAAATATGAAAATGTAGTCGTTTGTCTCTTAAAATCATAAAATACTGATGAGTATTCCAAAAGTTTTAAACTTAGTCTTTTAGTTAAGAATATTAGCCTATATTTGTTTAATTGTCTCATTCGAAGCCTTACATCGTGTCAAGGCTTAGAGTGAGGTTACCGTAACATTTTCATGTACAGAAACTCCAAACCTATAAGGAAACATGACCATTTATTGAATTAGTTTTTATGTTCATTTTATACCATTTGGCAGCGAGTAAAAAAATACTTGATCACGAAATATTTTTACGTGTCGATAATTTAAATATTAATAAAAGAGACGTCTTATTTTTATTGTTTTAGTTTTCGATAAATTTAAATGGAAAAAATATGTCGTGAGTTGAAGCGAAGTGTCGGACCTTAAATTTAGTTAACTCATTTTATAAAGTTTACGGAGAATAAGTAGTGAAAATACTCATTAATTCATATAGGTAACTTAGTACACTTATAATAATAATTAAATACAACTTAGATTTGTTACATAAATTTTTTTGTTACCCTAATATCCTAGCTATCTTCAGTACCGTTGACCCGTTCACGGGTAAGGGCCTCCTCCAGCATTTTCCAAATATCTTACACTATATATCTAGTGCACACTTTTGAACGTTAAAATCTCAGTATCTAAGTTTATACTTACTGCGAGTTCTAAAATCATAGAACGGATGGGAATAACTGACCATAAACTCTCCGTCAATCGCCAAGGTTTTTTTTTATAAAATAAAAATGATGCTACCCACTATTCATAAATTTAAAAAATAATGAATTACGGTAAGTTGGAGACGCAACACAAACATCTACTAACACATGCTCCGCATAATTGTATTTTTTAAATATTTTCTTAACGTTTCTTTTACACAAATTTTGCCTCCATTATAAAAACAAAATCTTCATTCACAGCGTAATTCCTCTAAAACAAAAAATCTATAGAATGTTGAAACTTTTTTATGACGTAAGAATACTTTTCCTGACATTACGATGATAAATGAAAGTATTTACATTATAATAAATACCCTAATAAACATAATAACACACTTAGCTTCATAATGATCGCATGTGTTAGCACTTTTTGTATAATCCTAACGATGTTGATGATAAATGTTACAAAAATGTATGTCGTTAACTTAACATTGCCTTCTTTAAATTATATAGCCTTATTTAATCATTTATAGCAGTTTTGGTTTATTGGCTTGAGCGTGCGACCCTCAGCCCTGATGTCGTAGGTACGAACTGACCACCGGCTATGCACCAATGGACCGTCCTGTCTATGTGCACTTGAACGGTGAAGGAAAACCTTTCTCAACCGGGGGTCGCAAATCATGGGGGGGTCGAGTGTTTTTAAAAGGGGGGCAAGTGCACCGAAGTTAAAACCATTGAAGGCTAATATAACGTAGCTGATAAAAATAGTGCGCTATGTACATATTATTATAATTTTACAGTGACGGGGTCCGAAGACTGTTTTACTTAACTTTTTGGCTTTTTCGTGGGTTGCCCAAAAATTCGACGATACGTGTGTCTGACAAGTGCCTGTTAGAAAAAGCAAAATGATCATATACAGAAATCTGATGCCAAGACCCTCGCCTCGCCTATACCTGCTTCTGTCACTAAACTCATAAATTAATAATAAAATTTCCAGTCCATCAAGATGGAGTCTACGTTCTTGGCATTCATCATAGCGTTTGCCTGTTTTGCCTTGGTGATACCGATCTACCTCCTCATTTTGGGCGTACTGGCATTACTGTCAGGTTCTAACCACGATGATGAGTTGGAGACGGGAGCCTTGTTCCCTGATGCTGAACCGGATTGCAACGACAAAAGTGTTGTGATTGTGACGTTCCTTGTTGTTCTGTTGTGTGGGTATGTTTGAAATCACCTAAAATATTTGTATTTGGAAATTTTTGTCTAGAAAAGATAATTGAAATAACATCATCATAATAATATCTTTATTTTTTTATTAATGCTAAATATCTCATAAAAGTGTAAGGAATATAATTTTTTTTTAGTAAATTTATATAAATTGCAAACTGGCAAAACCTAGGTAATGTAAACAACAATTGCAAAAAATGTTATTAAAACGGTAGTTTAAAAACGTTGTCATTTGTAAACAAACATAAATAAAAGATATTAGTTTAAGATAAGCTTTGGGTGATTTATTCTCTTCTTTTATAAGTAGCTATCTAGTATGCTAATTAATACACAGTATTAGTATAACAAAGCGTATAGTCGGACTGCGGTGCCGGTACAGGAGCATTAAATCAGGTATATGTTGCTTTTTTCTTAACTTATGTTTTAATTAATCGTCGATTATACATTTTAATCACATAACAACGTGCTAAATTGAACTCTACCTCCAATCCGATTCGAGGGCTTTTAACGCAATTGGACCGCAGGTGAAATTCATTCAATCGCTAACTATTAACGCGACCCTCTTAGTGACAACCCTTACAAGGGAAACCGATTGGAACTGGTTAATTTAATTTAGTCTGCTTTTTACTATCTTTTTCCTCTTTTTAATTCTTAATTTTAATAAATGTGAACACTGACAGTTGATCGAGTTAAATGTTAATACGATTAACTTTCTAGAATACAATTTCAAGGCTAACTTCCCAATGTTACGGATTGACAGCTCAAACATGCAAAATGTGTTCGTTGAATATCTAAAAATATATCTTACAACGCCATCATCACCTGGGGGTGTCCCACGATACTAAAATTTCAGACATGACAAAGAGATATTTTATCTAATTCAATCATAATAACTTTATATGTTTAAGTATATATTAGGTATACTATAAGCTTTTAATGATTATTTGAAGTCTGTAAACGATTATCATAAAAATAGTGTGTTTTGTATGATTATTCCCTTTTATGGACTGTAGGGAATGACAAACAAAACTTATTAAATAACTAGGGTTTTCACGCACAATAGGCTGCAAACAGAGCACTTATATTAAATTCATTATTTTCAGGTCACTAATATCAGGAATGGTGCTAAGTAACGAACAGTCACGTATGGCGGCGGAAGACAGCCGCAACGTGGTTAGTTGCGCCTGCGCAGATATAGCAGCCTGGCTTTCTGCTGCGGCGCGAGAGTTGCATCAAGGGCTTGTACCACCAATTGACATGGTATTATATGCTTACAAGAATGACTTGAAGAGTGAGTATTGTAAAGATTAGTATATTTATGATAATATAATAGGTATAAGGTCATGTACAAACCTAAATTGTATGGACCAAGGCATTTAAAAGAACTTTTTTTTAACTTCACTTGCAATTTTTATTGCTTAACTTTTTATATCCTTACTTCTAAATGTACAAAAATAAATGTATTAGATGCCTACCATTATGTATTTTGACTCAAATATATACTTTATTTGCACTCAAATATAATATGCTTTATTTGCACTGTGAAAAGAGTTGAAATCCTCCATCCTTGAAAAAAATATGTTAACTTATATTTTTATTTTATGATTATTTATGATTATTTCAAAAAAAGGTTTTATGTTAAGAAAATAATAAAAAAAAACAAATGACAATTTGAGCATTCATATATAGGAAAAACATGTTTTGAGTGATAGGTTACAAAGGTCATTTGGATAGAACATGCTAATTGACAATAAACCGTAAACATTGTGTTGTCTTAAGTCTTGACACTAAAGGTTAAATCGTGAAATTTATGGCTAAAGGAAAATCTATAAAACAGTTTTCATATCAATGCGTTCAACATACGAGAATTCTTATATGTTTGAAAATAAAAATTATCCGCATCTGTGAACAAAAGACGCGCTTTCAAGTGTTTGAAAATAAACATTTTCACCTCGATAATCAAGAAACTGAGCTATCACGAGATACATTTTATGGCACATTCTATGTGCCATAGAATGTATCGCATCGTAAGCCGGCACTTAATTGTGGCTGATAATTAATTTGTCTTAGCGAATTATGGAACTCAAATAAGCGCATTCACTTAACATCAGGTATGAATATCGTTAAACATCAGTCCAAAACAAATAACGATCTTTGTACTATTAGTTGAAGACCTAGAAGATAGCTAGGAGTAACGCCGGCTTCTGCGTGCTGAAAAAGAAAACAAACGAATGTGACGCAAACCTAATAATCATAAATATATAAAATTTCTATTTTCTCGAAACTTGTACCCAAATCGTTATTTTAAACTATGATAATATTGAAATGATAATGGTTTCCAGACGTCGACACTCTTTTGGGAGATCCGATTCAACAATCGATTGCTTCGGAGAGCGGCATCGATTTCGTTCTGGATTCATTAATGGATATTGTAATTGGTACGCTTTTAATACCTTATATTATCCGTGACTTCACTGTAGTAATTATTTGCGATACTATTCATGCAAATCATGGAGCAGATTGCTGCAAAGTTCTTCACTGATTAATTATTTATGCTTAACAGGTCACCTAGTGTTCTGCAAAGTGCAACTTTAGTTGACTAATTACATAGATTAAAAACAAAATAATTTTTTTAATAAAATTATTTGTTAGTGCCTATAGTAGTTACTTAATTTTATGTTTTTTTTATTATGTTTTTCCTAATTAATTTCTTATGTTAGGTTTTTGTATCTTGTGTAATTTTTTTCATTGGTTATGCATTCTTGTTGATTTAGGGTCACCTGTTAGGTCAGGATTGTGTTTTATTATAAATAAATAAAGCATTCCATTTATCCGTTGCAATGTGAGAGTTTTATGTATTTATATTCCATCCATACAGTATTTCTTTACGAAAATACTTGTCGTGAAAAGTTCCACTTACGTTAAGGGTGAATAGAAAATTATTTTTCCATTATAAAGGGTTGAGAGGGTAAGGGATAACAAATACATGTCTTCAATGTCAAGAATTATCGATATTAACTTATATTAGAGTCAAAAATATTAAATACTTATTAACATATTTTATATACAACAGCCTTTAGTGAGAATATATGCGTAGGATTTGTATATTAAATCATTTGTGTAATATTTTGTAATTTGGCTATTTGACGCGAATATCACACAACCATAACAAAAAAAATAAACATAATGATTTCTTGCAATTTATAACGTACATTTTAATATAAACAATAGCATTGACTTATATAAAACAAGGCCGATGTGACGACAACATTGCATTTACAGAGAGCAAGGAGCTGTCATCAAAGATAACATCTCTACGCAACTACACGATGAAGGCGAGAAGTTTAGCTTCTGTTGCCTCAGACAGGATTCAGGAACTACGGCGACAGATCGACAACTTGAAGAAGCTTTGTAACACCAAGGACGCACCGCTGTGTGACACTATCAATACGAATACGTTGAAGTTGCAAATGCAATTCGATTCAGTAAGATTTTAAAACAATAGTTTCAGAAAATAACTTAAATATGTTTTTCCATAATTGTTGTGGCCATCACTAAATCTCAAAAATGTCTAGCTCTCAACAATGTGTTGGATGTCTTGGCATTTCTCGAACAGACACACTTGTCTTGCCCACGCTGCGAGGTTAAATTCTTTCTAAATATAAGCCTAGCAGACTATGCCTTATTAGCTGAGACTAGGTCCGGCTGGGTATGCGTAATGTGTGAAAGCAAGTATAGAAGAGATGGCAACAATTCTGCGATCTGCTCCCCGCTGCACGTTATTCAGTTATCCAGCAGCAGTTATCCAACTACTTGGGAATGCCATCAAATGCCCTATCAATAAGCAAGATATCCACTACTGCTTCAGAGTCGCTTAACTACATCTAATCGCCCAGAAATGATAAAACTAATAAGGACGATAAGGTAAATTTTTGCCACCTGGACTTCGTATTACAAAGTCAGCCTATGTGGTTGAGCAATTAACGCTTGAGCTGAACGCTGAACTCAAAAGAACTACAGCTACAGCCTAATCAAACTACCTCCACGCTTAACTTGTTATACATATTTCTTTAACAGTTAACCCCCACACAAATAAAACAAAAATAATGATTACTATTCAAATACAAGGGGCTTAAGAACAAAGACTTTGCAGCTTTTCAGTAATGTTCTGCTCGAATTAATATGTCATTGTTTTTACAGAGACAGCACTACAACTTAAAGCCACTTCATTGTCATAAGGATGTGCTGGATGCTATGTTTATTTATAGCCTATGCAACATTATGCTGGACTCACCTTATCTATAATATCTTGTTTAAATCTTATCTCCCCTAAGCGCTCTAATTTAGGGTTATACGCTCTCCTAATCAGAAAGTCTAGAATGTGCGGCTGCCCGTACAATCTTCATATTCTTTCGGAAGGGCATTCTGTTATCACTTTCTTAGGTGCTTTTCTATGCTTTACATTTTTTTTAACCTTTTGTAAGATTTATCTTTGTAAACATATTAATTATAATGTTCGTGCACGCCGTCTGCACCTATTATCGAGGCCACACATTGTTTATAATTTGTATAACTTGTTTCTTTATTTGATTTGATTTTTGTTATATGTGGCCTTGTTGGTGTTGGTGCGGCTATAAATAAATAATTATTCCGTTTAATGAATTACCACAAAACCAAAAAGTAATATAAGACGGTAACAGGCTCAATGCATTCTAGGAAATAGTCGGCAAAATCCTCGTTGATATACTACTTAGCCTTACAATTTATTTTTTGTTTTCTCTTATACACATACTACTTTCGTATGAATGTATTTGACCAATTGAAAAACAAAAACACACAAACATTGTGAAACATTGCCAATGAAACAGGCTCAGCAGTATAAGGCTGGAGAGCTAATAGATTTTTTTATTATTAATAGATCCTTCATGAACCTCAACTATTAGACCTGCGTGCTCTGGGCGTAGAGAACTTAACACAAGCGATATCTCAGGCGAGGCAGGAGTTCCAAACCTTACCTTCCGCCATTCTCGTGCAGACAGAATCTGTTAGAGATGGTAAGCATTTTATAGAGGATATATATTAATTATTCTCAAGAGACTTTCTCTTATGTAAGATAATGTATAAAGTATTTAATCTGTTTAATTATCATTAAACCATACCATAATATCTTATGGTTAATGTGTGGTATTTAGACATAAACCTTTCCCTTTTATTCATAATTTAAGCAAACAATTTAGATAGTAATATATGTACGTAATTCGCGCTTCAGATGTCATCCGTGACATAGAAGTTCGTCGTCAAATGGTGCACAACTCGGCACGAGTCCTGAAGAATATAGTCCGTCACTTGACATCAGGATTACGCAGTTTGGCTCATAAGCTGGAAGGAGGGCTTGAAAGGCTGGAGAAATATGACTATTGGCGGTGGATACTAATGCTTGGTACGTTCTTTCATAATGTGTTCATTATAAATAAAGTATTATAAGTATATTTTGTCTTGAAATCTGAAATATAAATGCCGTGTAAGGAACCGCCACAAATAATATAGTAAATATATTTTTCCATATAAGCTCTATAATCCCTACTAATATGACTTAGGGTCAGATTCAGATGATACTTATACGTATTGAATGTCAATAACGATAGTAATAGTTTGCGCTGTGACACAATTTTAAATCTTACCTATAATTCCACAGTCACATAAATGATGATTATTATTAACGGTTTTAAATGGGTTTATTAAACTAATAAACTAAATCTAATCGAAATAAATGATTATTATCGAATATGCGTTACAGCCTGCACGATAGCCTTCGCCTGTGTGATGTTGCTTATATTCTTTGCCCTGCTCTGTGGTTGTGGAAATGCTAAAATTCACGCAAAACGGACATTACAAGTGTAAGTGAATTAGATTTACTATATTTCTTAAATGTACATATTTGATAAAAACTAAACAACTGAATAAGTAATCATACGGTTACCGGCAAAAATGAGAGAATTTGCAGGCAAGCTTATTTTTATTAAAAACCCTTAGTTAAATTAATATCGATAAAATTTTCACAGATAATTTATTGTTGTTGATAGATTGTTGGCATTACAGATAAAAAATTAAATAACTATCCAAAATTGTTAATCAACATGATTCATTAATGTTTATAAATTTGCATAAAACATGAAATCTAAAATATGTTTTGTCTATTTTATTATTCCTATATGAATGTATAATTTGTAACAATAAATACATTAACTAGGTAATTTTAGATCATCCCTATGGTTATGCCTGGTCTCTCTCATTTTATGGTGCGTGATATCCGCCACCTTCCTCATCGCGGGACATGCCGAGGTAAATTTCCTTTACAATCGCTGATTATTTTTTGGCGAAAAATTTATTTACCATTACTGGGACAACGCTTCCTAACATTATTATTATTTATGGCTAAGCGCAAAAGTTTTCTTGAAAGATTTGCGTAATAAAATATGTAAGGCGCTTAAAATGTATTAAAACTATGGATGGGAAAACACACGAGGTTTTTAGGTATCAACTCAATTAAATTTAATTTTGAAAGCTAGATATATAGGCTATTGTTTATATGTATAAACTAAATGAAAATGAAATAAGCAGGAATCTTAAGCGGTACAATCCTTTTCGACGCTTTCAGGGTATGATTTTCGAATAGTAAATGGTAAATCTGTAAAAAATCTATGTCATCACAGTAACTTAAAAATGTTTAAATATCAGGTATTTATATGTCACGCGTTGTGGGACTCGCCTCAGTACAGCACTCTGTCGTCCCTCTTGGACCGGCCCTCACCTCTTTTGCAACACAACGAGGGAATTTTCGATGTGTTACTACGTGAACTAGAAAATGTCACCATTGAAGTCTCCGTCAGAGATGTTTTGAGGTCAGTTTACATATGTAAAATTTTAGGATACCGAACAAAATAAACACGGGGTCACACTATTGTGTGCTACTGATTATTTTTAAAGGCACATTAAAAAAAATCGATTCATTACTATATGTACTGCAGCTTTAAGTTACCAGCTTAAATACATTTACAACATGCCCACGTATGCACATATCAGGCCTAATGTTAGAAATATACAGGGACTGCGAGAAAAATCGTCCAGCCTACGTAGTCTTTCAACTGGACAAGATGTTGGACGTCAACAAAGAGACGTCGTACTTCGAATGGGAGGAACTCCAGGCAGACCTTGACCGGCTCTCATCGGCCATCGATGTGGGCTTCCTCAAAACTATATCGTTTAACTTTAACCGGCTATTACACGATATACTTGATATATCGGATGTTAATATGACCAAATATAGGTATGGAAACACGTTCGTTCTTCTCTACTTTGTACCTTAATGTTTTAAATATATACGTCTTGAATCACTGTACATACAGCATACAAGCGTACGCTTTTTTCATATAATATTGATAGTTGCTTATGAACATAGTAAGATAGAGTAGGATAAGTCTTAATATATTAGAGTACATACTACTTTTTGTGTGAGCTAACTACTACTCGTATATTAAAATCGGTTTCAGCATTTGGGTTTAAAGTAATGCACAAAAGCTAAATCTTTTTAAAATATAGATAGTACTTTTTAGTTAAGATAAATAAAGTGTATACTTGTATAAATTAAATACAAATGTATATAGAATAATTGCATACTCCATCTGAAACCCTTTCTCGAGATAAACCAGAAAAGAGGAAAATTATGACCACAAAAATATAATTTTAAAATGACATGACTTAGGTTAGAATACGATGGTCCAGTGGTAGGGAAAGACCTGCCATCGCTGATAGACCAATTGGAAAACGTCGCAGCTCAGGTCACTGACCTCTCTACAGCGGGAAGATTGGAAACTCTAGGTATCTATTTAATGTTTACTTGCATGTATAAATATAGGTTAACTATGGTTTTTTTATACTGGCTTTGTCGAATAAGAATCGCATAGAATCCACAAGCTAACCTACTAAATGAAGAATTTTATAATTTGTTCCTTAATTTGCAATATTAAATACAGAAAAGAGCTGTTAAAACGGGTCTTAAACCAAATATTATTCCTAGATATTCTTAGGGACATGCCAACAGAAGTGTTTTGTCCATATAACCACAGGGGTATATTTTAAAAACATTTTTTAACTTCGTTTAAACTTTTTGATAAGACATTTTTGGAATTTTAGGAATGCCACTCTCTTGACTTCCAATATTGGCAGTAGGTAATAAAAATGCTCCAGATTTCAAAATACCTAATAATTTAAGACATAACTTCCAGCGAACGATTCCAATGTACTCTTTCAGCTTCAAGAACCCAAAAATTACACTCGGCGAACATAAAACCACTGGAACAGCTGCGAGCGAATCTAGTCTTTAGGCTGACAGAATTAGAACTACAATTGATTCCATTTCGAAGGAAATTGAACATTTCCCTCAGCCACATTCATACAGCGCAGTTTTATATCAACAACCAAGGGCATATCATCGCGCAGAAGGTCAGTTTCTTAGGAATATAATAAAGAATGTATACAAACACATAATTCACAGCTTTTTTGATAACATTTCACTATATAAATATAAATATACAAAAAAATATGACTTCACAAATTTTACATACACATAAATTATATGATACATAATAATTTGAAACTAGAGTTAAGTTTTGTGGCGGTTGTTGGAGGGATGTCCAAATAAATGAAACTCTTTGTTTAAAGCTGGGTTTTAACTGGCTTTTATCGTTTAAAACATGAGCTTATAACTAACATAAAATTAATAAGTGGGGTTGCGACGCTGGATTGACAAAAAACTAACTTGACTTATTTAAGGGTTCTTAAATCTAAGTGAGACTTCTGATACCTTTTTTTTTTTTTTTTTTTTTTGTATCTGCTTCATGGCAATCTGCTATCCAGCAATAAGCCACTTGTTTGTTTGATTTTACTCAGTTCATGTTATCCTCAAGAGCCATACCTACCTATTAAGAATATAAGTGTAGTGGACATTATCGGATACTAGATTGTTCTATTACAATTTATGAGTGTATGAAAAACTAACGGGCGCATTTACTACTAAACTTCTAATTATTGACTAAAATATGTAATTTAACTCATGTTAGGTTACATAAGGAAAAAATGAACAAACAGCAAACAAATAAATAAATAGAAACTAAAACTAATTAAGATAGTGATACAAAAAATTACGATTAGTTGGAAGATTGTTGTAAAATATATCATTATTTTTATAAATATAAAGTTATACATACACACGCAATTATACCAGTGAAATGTCTCCTACATTTTTTAAATCTATTTGGTATGTTTACATAAACAACGTGCCCATTGTCTAATCTATTTGAAGTTCTTGGAACTAGGAATCGGTGAATTCATTAATTAATTAAATGGAAACAATTGAAGTCATACATTTTCAACGTTGGAATATTATTTGTAGGTAAAACGACAGATTCGTGGTCTGCGCATTGTTCAATTGTGCAAAATTTATTTCACCGCAAAATTTCGCTAAAAACGAGATTTACGAGCCCTCCTAGAAAAGTTTTTAGTATAGTTTAAACCAGAAAGAGATGTTTCGATTATTTATACAAAAGGTAACATACACCAAGATGTAATAAGGATTCTGTATTAATAAAGTATGACTATCGACGAATACCTAAAAGGCCGGCAACGCATGGGACACTGGGTATCACTTAACATCAGATGCGACACCTGCCCGTTTGCCCACTGTTATAAAAAAAACTATTTATAAAATCCGTATCCATAATCCGCTTTAATGCAACCTACAAAATAAATAAGTATTCATATTCAACAATTATTAAGGTGCCCTTTTTCACCAATTATAAAAAAACCATATGATTTTTAATGATAACGTGTTTTAATTTCACTTACAAATACAGTGCAAGTAATAAACTGATATTATTTATTAGGACTAAAGTTGGTCAATTTTCACACCTCTAATATCTCTACACTAAAATAAACAGTATTTTTGATAAAAATGTTACAGAAAGTGTCGACATTTGTGTCCCGGCTGGTGTCACACACGGCCGGTTGGCGGACACACGTGCTGACCTCTGCCGGAAAACACGCGGGAAAGTGTCGGCCTCTTTTCACTGTATACTCGGCGATAAGGTCGTTATTATGTACTAAATACGTCGCTTCATTGGTAAGTAAATAGGATTAACTCCTTTTCAATATGTATTTAACGCATATATTTATGTCTTTTAGTAAAAGGCTACATTGAATAATCAATAAAATAAGTCTTAACATCGTCCATTAACTTCAAAATGTCCTATATAATTCTACGCGGACATAGTCACATTATATTAATACTTCAACTAAATTAACATGTTACAAAACAATTAATGATTTATGATATTTGACATGATATTAATTTAGACTCAATATCATGTCCAAATATGTAAGGCTGATCAATGTGTCAAATATAATTAATTGCCAGTTCATCCGGTGTTTACGAAACATTTCATAAATTATTTATAGGCTTATACAAGTGACTATGAGTTGGGATCCTGTTAGAAGCGCCAACTTTTATCAATCCGCCCTTGTTTTTGTTTTAAGCTTTTAAAGTATCCCTTTTCCTGTAAGTAAACCTGACCAAAGAAATCCTACTTTAGTTTTTCTTACAAATTATGCTTTTTTGCACTTTGTCGTAATTCTTTATAAGACTTTTCTAAATAATTGGAAATAATTTAAAACCTTTCAATAGGAAAATATTGCGATTTTCATAACCCGACATCTATTCCAAAATCTTCAGGGAAATAAAGATTAGTTTATTTACTTAATTTGTTAAAACAACACAGAAAATGCTACTTACACTTTTTAAATAAAAACTGTAGTTGTCTTTTATAACTATAAAAAAGCAGTGGCGCTACAACCTTTTTAGGTCTGGGCCTCAGATTTCTGTATCTGTTTCATGATTATTTGTCAATCTAATAGGCAAGTAGGTGATCGGCCTCCTGTGCCTGACACACGCCGTTGACTTTTTGCGTCTAATGCAAACCGGTTTCCTCACGATATTTTCCTTCACCGTTCGAGCGAGTGTTAAATGCGCACATAGAACGAAAGTATGAGTACATTGTTGTACAGCCAGGGATCGAACCTACGACCTGAACGATGAGTGTTGTACACTGAAGCCACTAGGCTAACACTGCTGCTTAGTGCTCTTTTATAAGTATGTACATACCAACAAATTTATGCTTTAATATAAAGTGTAAATTTCAGCACGGTTGGTGGTTCTGCGGCGTCCTCTTAGGCATATTCTGGTTCACCACACTGACACCGCTCTGTGTAAAATTGTGGCGATCGTTCGGCAAAAAGATTAGAGCATTAGAAACTTTAAACCTCACAAGCTTAAGGTAAGCTGGAAATTCCATTTAATACTTTGCAATTTGTAAAGCTTCACCGAAATTCTACAAACGACGATGGGGCTAATTGATATTTTTATTTGTTGACAATAGTTTTATGTATGTATTCAATACTTCAATACTCCTGCTGCGTCTCACACTAAACATAATTTTCACTTCCTCAGCAGTCAGCAAGGCACACCAGCTACGGCGGTTTGTGATGACAATAACTGGAGTGCCCCTCCAGGGTGAGTACTATGTAACTCAAAATAATTTTTTTTTATTTATAATAATAATAATGCCACTTTAATTCCACACAATAAAAATTACAAATCAAATGGTATTAGTTCTGTTTACACAAAGTTAGTTAATGCTATTTCCATTTCTTCGTGTTCTGTAGTTACTGTTTTGGGAAAAGGCAAATATTTAAATGACAATTTTAATATTTCGTAAATTTTTACCGCTTGTAGAAAGGTTTTTTTAAAAGTAGGGGACAATTGATGTTAATTTTTTTCGTAGGCGAAACAATGCTTTAAAAAAGTTTTCCTAACACATATTTATTAATTAATTATATTGAAATTAATTATATACAAACTATAATTTTAGTGAAAATTATGAAAAATCTAAGCGATTTTTCTCCCATTTGACTAAGAACATTGTAATTTATTTAAAAATATCTAAAACGTTATTAAAACGGCGCTCCTTTGTTCTTTGAAAAGCCTCATACTGGTCGATCGCTTCTCTATAATTTCTAATTATATTTTAATTAATTTCCAGTCCACCACCTCCAAGAAATGATAGCTGGTGAAGATTGATCCTCTGAAATCCTCGTTTATGTTTCTTCTGTCGTTCCAATACAGCACAAAATTTATTATCACTTCTATCAAGAACTTTTTATGGTTTTGCTCGCGATTTACACTGGCTTTTGTTTCTTTATATCTTTGAGTATGTCTTTTGAATAAACTTTTTGTTCTTGAACGAAATAAAAATATAAAGTACATGTTTCTGTTTATTCCGCGTATATCCAATTAGTAATTTACTTTAATTAATATGAATAACTTACATTATTCAGTACCAACCATTAGAAAAACAAAGGATTTTATATTGGTAGTTATTTTAGGTGACATTTTATAACCTTGTTGATGTAGTAGTAGCATATTTATATATTATGCTACTACTAAATGTAAAAAATTTAGTAGTAGCATAATAGACAGAACGTACATTACCACAGCTGGGGTCTGAACCTACGACCTCAGGTATGAGAGTTGCACGCTGAAGCTACTAGGCCAACATTGGTGGGTTATGATTTTTAGTTTCCAAGAAATGCGTGCGCAAATATTTAAACATTCGACATTTAATAAAATATATCATATACGAGTATGTATGGCAAAAGTGAAAACTTCCTTTTTTTTAAAATCCCGTTAAAAATTTGAGTTATTGGAACTATTTTGTTTAGGCCTTCATAAAAATGAGATTTCAGATTTATCGTATCCACGAACAGTACTTACTTGCATGTTAACAACACGTGTGACCTCAAATTGGCAGTCCTTATAGCATTCAATTTAATATTAATCAGTTAACACAGGGCCTTTTGCTATAACTCTGTGCTAAAAAGATCCAGCGTTATTATAAACTCGTTAGTTATGAAACTAAATTATTTATTTCTCAGCCGACCGACGTTATTAAATCGTGGTTTAAATTAATAATGTAGAAAATATCTCGCAACTTTTTATATTTTTTACCAATTTAACGTTTTTAGTTATAAAAAGGGATTAACTTGATGATTTTTCGTCGTTGGAAAATATTCTAGCATCATTATGATATATATTTCCACAACGTTATTCTAATTAAAACTATTGTTATAATATATTCCAAAAGACTAATGTGTAATAATATTAAAGTAACAGTATATTTGAATAAAAGTTTATTAATATTATTTTCATTTATCTATTTTTACATATTTTACTATTTAGACCAGTATTTCTACAACCCGCAGGGGAGCAATCGATCAGCTTGATATAACACAACGTGGAGACTTGAGACTGAAGCTAAGTAAATTTCTGTGCAGTAAGCATCATGCGCAAGGATCTCACTAAATAAATATAGAAATGCAGAATTTGAATTGTAGTTTTTCATTATGTTTTGAAAATTTACTTATTGTATCGCTAACAATTTTCTAGTGATTTCTTCGTAAAACCTATCATTTAAATTTCTTAAGTAACCAATTGAATTTTTTAATATATAATATAAATTATATATGTTACATAGGGGGAGACATAATAATTGTATATAGCGTAAGGTAGCATGGCACAAAAAAGGTTGGAAAACACTGGCGTACACGAACACTATTCGACCGAAGTTTGTTAGTTTCCTAAAAGATACGCATCCCGCAGGGCAACGCCAGTATGACATGCAGACAAGTACTTGAACCTCTAGAGCATCTTCATCTCAGTCATAAAACAAAAACCATTATCAGTAAACAATAAACATACTCGCAATAACACTTATAATTTGTGAAAGCCATAAATTTGACTAGTTTCGCTCGTCCGAACAGTAAACACATAAACATTATATTTTATAGCGCTACCTGTCGTTATCGGGACCAAAAAAACGGATGCGGAAAGCATTAAATGACACACTATTTCGGTTGGCAAAATTGGCCTTGGGCCAGATTAGATGGTGGGCTGTAAATGGAATCTAAAGAAATAGTCTTTTTACTATGAGGGTCCTTTGAATTTCGGAACAATCTTTGCAATTGTTGCAAATGAAATTACCCACTATGTTTTGTTCAAACTAGATTCATCTACATTTTTTTAAATATCTGTTGAAATTTAAATCACCTCATATGTTTTTAGCAGTGTTGGTCTAGTGGTTTCAGCGTGCGACTCTCATCCTTGAGATCGTAAGTTCGATCTCCGGCTGTGCACCAATGGTATTTTTGGTCTATATGCGCTCGCTTGTATAATGAATGAAAACAAGGCATGGCTTTGACCCACAAAAGTCGATGGCGTCTGTCAGCCACAAAAGGCTGATCACCTACTTTTCTATTAGGCAACATAAACGATCACAAAACGGATTCAGACATCGGACGCCTAGGCCTAGAAGGTGGTAGCGCCACTGGTTTTTTGAAGTGACAGGTAGAAGGAGACCTGGCCGCACGTCTTGGTTGAATAATCTTAGACAATGGTTTAGTCAAAGCACCAAGTCATTTTTCAGAAGAGTGGAATCCAAAATTAAAGTAGCCATGATGATCGCTTACCTTCAAAAGGAGATGGCACTATAAGAAGATATCGTACAAACAGTGCTAAGGAAAAAAATACTTATAACTAACCTTCTAAAATATAAATCACTCTTAAATTACGATACTCATCGCCACTTTCTGACAATTTTTTTCACGCTCTAGTTAAAACAGTGTAAAGTATTGCGAAATCAATAAAATATATAGTAGTTTAAACGCTTATTAATCAGGAAATTTAATATTAAGCATCTCTTGGGTATTCCTTGCTAAGACCTTAACGGAGCTAACCGCTTTATAATCGTTACAAAGGAGCCACTCTTGAGGTATGTTTAGTGTTATGCATCCAAGATTAAACGGTAATTCAACGCGCTTTTGTCTATTAGTGCATTTATACATCGATTTCATTATTTAATAAAATATTTGTACCTAAAATTCCTTAACCATATCCTATCCTGCTCATTAGTGACTTTTGTAATTCATGTATTTTTATTATTTTGCCTTTTAATTATTCAACCGTTTTATTTTAGACTAACTTTGGTAATTGTATAATTTTTCACTTTTACTTGTGATTTTATGTTGTTGATTTAGTTATGAACTTTTTGCACTGTAGGTACCTTTAATGTTTCCTTTTTTTAGTTATTTTATTAATAGGATTGCCTGGATGAGATCGCATGTTAGCGATAAGGCCGCCGATTGCGTCCCTAATAATTAATGCTATTTGTTTTTATTTTAATGTAACGAAGTTTAAATAAATAAATACAATATTATATTTCTGATTTCTTCTAATCCTTCCAAAGAAAAGCAATTTTGTTTCTCTACTATACCTCTGTATATCGAAATATATTATTTTTGTTATAATAAAACTTACGCAACTGCAAGTGATTCGTCAAATGTCAACTGGTTAACATTATGTCGACCTACAGTAGCCCTGTTGTTGCGCCACTGTGAGAAATAGATACCATTGTCTGTGAGCTTGTTATAATAATTTATGGTCTGGTTATACCATTATGATATGTTGAATGAGTAATGAGTTATTTAATTCATTTATTGCAACCAATTTTCAAAGGTCAAGATTACTTTTTTTGGAGCAATGTTAAGTTGTTTCAGTTTTAAATAAGTAATAACTTTTGCATCATTATTTTGACTTACTTTGGATTTGGAGCAGTGACGTCCACACTGAGTCTCGCGTATTTCACTTCGATTCAGGTCTTTACATATTTCTTTGCTTCATCTGCAACTGTACGACGCCAGGTTTACTTGAGACGGCCACCTCTTTCCCAGCGGGTTCCAATCAAGCGCCTGCTTAGGAATATAATTGGAATCTCTTCGGAGTGTTTAGCCAATCAATTTCCAATTGCGTCGCTTGGTCTGCTGGATCGGGGTTTTTCGTGCAGCGAATAATTATGTTAGGAGTCAATAAATAGCTGACTGACTGGAAATTAAACGATGAATTTCTCAATGAATAATTATTTCCATATGTTCCGTATGTTTCATTTCCCATTTTTCTTTCTCGTAAGTTTAAACACTGATAAACATCGTAGCTTTTTGGGAAATGTTGCACATGCGGAATTCCTTCATCGTCGCTCATATCCACTTATAATACAAGTATGTTCGCGAGTGTGCACATAATCCTAATAATTACTAGAAAGGCACGGCGTATTGCAGCAATGCACTTTTTCTAGCGATTCATTTCTTACTAATAGTAATTAATCAGTCGTTGTCACCACTCTGAATAATGGTTTTTTAATCTTAAATCTGATAGCGACGTGGGTGGCTTATAGAAGAAAAATTGCTTAATGAACCACGATTATGATATTTTTATATAAATCATGTATGTTATATCTGTACATATCATATCATACGCCAACAATGCATCATTTCGTACTTTACATTATCATTAAGAACCTATAGAAGCTCATCGTGATTGGCAACCCCGTAGGCAAAAGATCGCGTGGACGTTCGCCAAAGATGGACTCGTTGTCCTCAAAATTATACACAGTTGTAAAAAAGCACAGGCTCCAATTTGGTGGAGAATTTACTATAGTAATCGCCACGACCTGAGTTACCAATTCAGAGACAGTACATATCGTATCTTGTACTGAATGAAGATCTTGATGACGGTACTGCGTTTTCTGTAAGAAAAACCCAATTTATTGGAATGCCTATTACACACTTTTTATATTAAACTTAAAAGCCGAGTTCGTTGCATTACTCGTATCAGAATAGTTTATTACGAAATTGTAAGTGCAAAATTGAATCGTTTTAATGAAATCGACTTACTCCATTACAATCAGAATAATTTCAAAATGCAGTGATAATCACTGTATATTACTCTAAACCTTGGCACACAATTTTACAATAGTAATAATTACAAGAGCTATCCGAGTTCTACTTATTAAATTTTATTTTGCAAATGTTAAAAATTGATGCAAGGCCAGTCTGGGTCAAGGCGAAGAGAATTCGTTCATGGCACTTGAAGATCTCGAAGTGACCAACGCTTTTAAGTTCTTATCCCAAATTTAAATATTATAAAAAGAATTTAAATCTGAATTGCATAAAATATAAGGTAT